AATGTTCAGCATATGTGAAGAATAAGTTGCATATGAGAGCTGGAATTAATATTATAATGGAAATGATCAATATCCTGTCATAAAGGACCAGTGGAAAGTGATGGACTCACTCATGCTTTTGTAGAACTCAAAAATGTTTATACCCTTAGACTGGTTATTTTAAGTTTAAAATGTTCACCCTTTATTTGATTTGACAGTGAAGTAATTATCCTTATATAGTGACATTCCCGTTACCATGTGAATTTATTGAATTCACAGAGGTAGGGCTCCAGATTAGAAATGTAGATATTAATGATAAAGACAGCAGCAAATTTTGAAATATATGAAAATGAACTTGATATGAGTAAGATATTTACTGCTGTTATATATAATTGGACACATGTACTTATATAATGTATTCAAAGAAAAATGAAATTGAATTGAGAACTCTTAGAGAATGAATCATTCTGTATAATACAGTTTCATATAGCTCATTTCCAAATATTTGGTCAGCTTTACCCTTCAGTATAACTTTGCTCTAAAATATATTTCATAATTTTTCACCATCTTAAGTAGAACAAATTGAAAATAATTCCTTTTTCTTTATGATTCAGGTCATTACAAGTATCATTTATTATGCTGTGAAGTAACAGACGTTTGTAGGGTTGCTTGTCCCTTGTGAAAAAGCCATAAGGTGCTTTGAGGTCTTATGTATACGTCATGTCCTTTTTAACCTACCACTCTAATTCCTGTCACTTTTTGCTCCTGGGCTTATAGCAGCCTCTTCTAAATGCTAAAGATTTTGAAGGCATTCACATTGTGTATAAAATTGGAGTACATAGGCCTCAAATATTGACATAGTGGGCCTGGTTTATAGAGGCTTAATAAACCTTCATTGGCTGAATGGATGTTGTAGTCTTTACAGGCATACTCTCTTTTGTAACCTAAGGAGGGGAGGTATTCAAAAGGAGAGAAATTCAAGCCGATTGGCATTTGCCAAAGATAATTATAAAGTCTTAACTTGTAAGAACTTGAGGTTACCTCAATAAAAAATACATGTCAGGCTATAAATCTGCAACCAGCCTTTGTCTGGCAAAGATCCATGCCATTTGCTGCCATGTCTAAAAGAGAAGCACAGCTGTCAGTGGGCTCACTTCCTTCCTTCTGCTAATAATTTTACTTTTATACCTCCTCTAGCTCTTATATCTTTGTTGAACTTAAAGCTTCAAGGAAATGAAAAATACTTCCTCACAATTGAATGTTGGCCAATCCCATGCTATTTAAATATGAGAAAGCCCTGATTAGCTAGTATCCTTTTAATCTAAAACTAAGAGTGTGCTTTCAGTATTTCTTCAGTGTAAATCTTCATTTATCTCATTCTTTCATTCCTCTTGCAGTTCTCCAAATATCAGGTGAACAGATTGTTTAGGTATTTTGGAATTAGAGTGTCATACTCCCTCATTCCTCCCCCATCTTGTTGGGTTTTTTGTTGTTTTTTTTTTCCCCTAAAAACCTCATTTAAAAATCCTTATAGAGTTATGTACTAAATAGTTACCTCTTAAAGTTCTGGACAAAGTAGCAAAGTAAGCAGACTTTCTTTGGCATCTTTATGAAAAGTTCTTTTGTAATCTGGCCACTGGCTGTAGCTTTTACATTTTCTTCTATAAAAATTATGGTGTGCTGTAATTTATTACATTGTTGTAAAAAAGATCGATGGGCTTTGGAGTTAAATCAGTCCATATTCAATCCATTATAGTAGCTTTCCCTGCCCTACATGCATTTGACTGTTGGGCATATGTTCAAATACTATGAAAAGAAAAGTTTCATAGTATTTGAAAATTTTCTGTTTCTTATTGAGATAAACCTAGCATTTTGCTTGTAGGCTTTTGCTAGCTTTGATTGTTTGGTAGAGGAGATTTACAGCTCAGGTGGTCAAGTACTATAGGCTTTGCTTTTGTATTTTTAATGCCTTTTAAATTCAGAGTCCAGTTTTGATATAGATTCCAATATAGTGGGAAGGCCAAGGGGAGCAGTGAAGGGATCTCATCTTAAAAGCAAGACCATGGGCGATGATAATTATTCACAACTATACAGTAATAATTATGTAGTTCAGATAATTGCAATAAAAGTATGGAAGTTACTCTGGATTAGCATCTCTTTTTCCTCTGGTGTCTCTGAGATGGTAGAATGAGCAAAGGCAGATGAGTTTTATCTGTAGTCACTTAACATTGTCCAATTTAATGCATATTATTAAAGCAACTGTCCAACTTTATTTCATGTTTTTATTTCTTCTCTTTAAAATCTTTCTTTTAATAGACTCTTTTATCACCAAGATCTATGCAAGCCTACCTTCTGCACTTAAAAGGCTAGCTCTAGGGGCACGTGGGTGGCTCAGTTGGTTAAGCCAGGTCATAATCTCAGGGTCATGAGATTGAGCCCTGGGTAGGGCTCTGTGCTCAGCATGGAGTCTGCTGGAGATTCTCTCTCGCCCTGTGCCCCTCCCCCGACTCACCCACGCATGCTCGCTCTCTTTCTCTCTCAAAAAATAAATAAAATCTTTAAAAAAAAAAAAGCTAGCTCTCAATTTGATTAATTGAGTTGATACCAGTTTCTTAGAGGTTACAAAAAGATAGTTTTTCCTCAAAGTGGAACTTCCTGAAGAGCTGGTATATAATTTGACAGTTCCAGTCTAGCACCATGGGATGCAGGAACTTTATCTCATCCCTTAGGTACCAAGGCCACTGTCAGAGTTTTCTGAAATTCGAAAAACGTGTGTATGTCCACGTGTGTGTTGTTTTTTCTTTATTATAAATGTACTATGTCTACATTATAAACAGTTTAAAAGTATACAACTATATAGACGTGAGTGTGCCTCTCTTCCTAATCCCTCTTCCCAAAAGAAACCACTATAAAGTTACTTAGTTTTGTGCATATAGAGACATGTTTATATCTATATCTATAAATATATATATGTAATTTCTTAAACAAAATATCATAGTATACTTATTATTCTTTATTTTTAGTTAATTATACATTGTGAACATCCTTCCATGACAGTAGATCTAGTCTTTCTATATCCATTTTAGATAGTGGATTTCCCTATTCCCTTATTTTTTATTTTTAGTATGTTCCACACCCAGTTGAGCCCAATGCAGGGCTTGAATTCATGACCCTGAGATAATGACCCTGAGCTGAGAATAAAAGTTGACGCTTAACCAACTGAGCCACCCAAGCGCCCCTCCCTATTCCCTTATTTATGGACTTAGGTTGTGTTTAATTTTTTTTGCAGCTAAAAGTGTTGTAGTAAGCATCCTTGTGTTTATTTTTGCCTACTTGTTTAAGAATGTCTGTAGGATAGTTTCCTAGAGTTAATATTGCCATATCAAAAGGTATGCACTTTTAGCATTTTGATACATGTTGTCAAATGACCCTCTAGACAAGAACAAATTTATAAGCCTGCTACTAGCATATGAGGGTTCATTTTTCCTACATCTTCAACAACATAGTCACCTGTTTATGATCCAGAGAACATGAGTTGTAAATAATAAATCTCAAGATTATTTTATATTAACTTTGATTTATGGCTTCCACAAATAACCTTCAAAAATAGGTGCTTTTAGTATTTTCCTTTTATCACTCTAAACCTGTTCAGATATGGAATGTTCTGTCAAGACAAAACAATTCCTTTTTTATTATTATAGGTGTGAATTACTTTTTAAGGAATTTACTTTATCATTTGTTGCCAAATACTTCTCTTCTTGAATATTTCTTATATGACTGACCAAGTTAGAATATTAGCTTCAAAACTTACTCTTTAATGTTGGAATTCAAGGGGCAGCTATTGAACATGTCATTCTCTTTGCTGAAATTTATGTGCGATCGCTTTTGAAATACCCCTTGAGTTTTACTGAGCACCTAATACTGATTATAATGGTGGTTGAACAGTAATTTAAAGCATATTAAAGGAAACTTTATGAATCCAAACAAATGTTGATGAAATCTGAGCTTTATTTATTGCTTGCTTGCTTCCTTGCAGGTGGATTCACCAATGAACTTGAAGCATCCCCATGACTTAGTCATATTAATGAGACAAGAAACAACAGTTAACTACCTCAAAGAATTGGAGGTGAGGCAATGGGAATGTGATATGCAACTGAAACTTGTTGCATTTCACAGGAGCTGTTGTATTCAAAGAAAAATGAAAGCTCATTATTTCTTAAGCCCGATTCTTCTCAGTTTCATATATACTTTTAATCACATTTTTAAAAGTAACATCTAATTGGAATGACATTTGAGCAATAGTAAGAGAAAAAGACTAATCTGGGTTTTGCCTGATTCTTGACTGACTATATCCTTGAACAGGGGTTCCATGTGTAAGTTTTTCCATCAAGTATGAAAAAGAATAATCTCTCTGCATATGCTTAGAAGGAGAGTTTGGGTAAAATACAAAAAGGAAAAATGGTTTCAGTACTCTATAAAAAATATATTTTTTTATTAATTCCCAAGTAGGGTCTTGTTATTGTGTGTTTTTTATGATGAGGTGAAAGCATTAATCACTTTGCACTTTGAAAACTTGAAATCTATTCGTACTAATAAAGTGCGACCTTTTTGTTTCTATCACTGATTTCCATAAACTGATTTTGCTTAATAACAAACAACATCAGTTATCTGAAAAAGTAGGAATAAGACAATAGGTGTATTTATACTGCTTCATGCTTGGAAGCTTTATCTGTTTTTATTTAAACACGGTGTTCAAAGAATGCAGTGGTGCAGAAAATAGATTTTATTTTCAGATGCATATACACATTGTATATGTTTATTGCTGTTCTTTTTTTAAGAGGCAGTATTATATAATATAAAGAGACTTAAATGAGAGTATGTGAAGGAGGAAAATGCCATTCACCATGTCAATGAAAACAAAAATGAAAAACGTTGATTCCATCAGTTTTTGATTAAGGTAGTTGGGACTCTGGGGTAAAGGTACAGGCTGCAGATGTGTATTTGTTAGACATTGAAATACAGACTTAAGGCCATGAAACTAAGTAATACCATTTATCTACAAAGTCGAGACAACGAGATGGACTTCTTAAAGTACCAGAAGACAGTGCAGGAGTAGCCTCAGAGTGCTAAGGGAAAATCAGTCAAACTAGAATTTTATGTTCCTGTAAGCCGTCATTCAAGAGTGAGGGCAAAACAAAGATGTTTTCTGACAAAGAGTTTACTTACTGCAGACTCTCCCTTTTAAAAAAAAATCGAAGATGTACTTCTACAAGAAGAAAAGTAAACCCAGTAGATATGCATAGGATGTATAATGATGAGTAAAAATACTGATGAAGAAGTTGCTAAACTTATTTAATTATTTATTTTTTGCACTTTGAAAGGTAAAGCTAGGTAAAAATAATACATAGTTGGGTTGAAGCATGTTTAGTGATTAGGTAAAGCCCGTTAGACTCTTCTGTCATGTTTAGAAGGTAGAACTAATTGAATAAATTAAAATCCTGTTAGAAAATTTATGGGCAAACATACTAAAAATTTAAGAGTATTGCTACCTTTCAAGTAGTATTTTCAGTATAATTGATTTCCTTTGTCATTCTTTTTTTTTTTTTAAAGATTTTATTTATTTATTTGATGGAGAGAGAGCACATGAGAGGGGGGAGGGTCAGAGGGAGAAGCAGACTCCCTGCCGAGCAGGGAGCCCGATGCAGGACTCGATCCAGGGACTCCAGGATCATGACCTGAGCCAAAGGCAGTCGCTTAACCAACTGAGCCACCCAGGCGCCCCTCTGTATTTTTTTTTTTATGTATTTAAAAAATGAAAGGGGTCTACAGGTTTCATTAGACTGCCAAAGAAGTCTGTGACATGAAAGAGTTAAGAACCCCTGGATCCTGCTATCAATATTCAGGAAATACAGAGGACAAAGAAAGGGACTCATTAAATGAACCTAGGAGATACAGTCAGCAAAATCCTGTAGAGTGGCAGACTCTGCAGAACAAATGACACAACTTGTTTAACAAATAAATTACAAGGATTAAAACTATAGATTACATTTCTGTTATTCTAGTGCTTGCCCTTACCTTATTACTTTAAGTTTTTCATCAGTAAATATTTTATTTATGACATTCGGATAGGGAAGGATTCCTTAAATAACGTAGAAATTACAATTAAGAAAACAACTGATAGTTTTGACCATCTTAAGACTAAAAGCTTCTCTTTAGCAAGTGACACCATGAACAAAACTAAAACATAAGCTATAAGCTGGGAGAAGATATTTGCAGTACCTATAACTGATAAGGAATGAGTTTACAGAATCACTCTTCATAAATTTCTACAAATCAATAAAAAAAAAAACGGGGGAAAAATAGGCAGACTTGGAAGGTCAAGTTACAAAATATCTCATAAACATATGAAAATATGTTCAGTCACATTAATGATTGCATTAGTTAAGATGGCTACATTTTGTAGTGGATGACAACTTTTGCATTGGTAACAAACAGTCCCAAAAATCTCAGTGCTGTTTCATGGAGGAAGATGGAGGCTCAAGGAAGAGTAACCAAACATACAAGCCTGTTTAAAGTTTCTGCTTAGAAGTGACATCATTTCTACTCACATTCCATCGTCCAGATCAAGTCACATGGGCAAGCCTGACGTCATAGGGCAGTATATAGTATAGCCTACCTACAGGAAAAGAGTCAGGAGGGAATGAGTAAGTGGAAACAGATCATTTAGTAACATCCCAGTAATCTTCATGGCTTAAAACAATAAGGTCATACTAAATATCACTCTGGTCCAAATGCCAGAACCCAGGCTGACAGAACAGCCACTGTCTGGCATATTGCCATTCTGAGTACCTGAGGGAAAAGAAAGAGCACAGTAAAGCATACACTGGCTCTAAAAGATGTTTCCCTTGAGAGGATTCAATGGCACGTCTCATGTTAAATTTGTCAAAGTAAGTCATACTGGCCACATCTGAGTTAAGCAGAACAGTGATGTGTTGACTCCTTTGTAAGGAGTTGCAGCAGATGCATTAATAGTAATACAGTCTACCCCAATAATCATAACATTTAATGCCCATCAAATTGACATAAACTAAAAATGTGATGATGGTAAGTTTGTGGGGATATGGGTATTATGATAATCTGTTGGTAGAATCCTAGTGGTTATAACAACTTTAAAAAACAGATTGACAGTGTCTAAATCAGAAAATGTGCATCCCATATGACCCCTGCATCCCATATTTTTACCCCTTCTGGGTCTTTTACACATGTGCACAAGGAGGCTTTTATAAGAATATCACAGCATTTTTGGGGCACCTGGGTGGCTCAGTTGGTTAAGTGACTGCCTTCAGCTTGGGTCATGATCCTGGAGTCCCTGGATCAAATCCCGCATCGGGCTCCCTGCTCGGCAGGGAGTCTGCTGCTCCCTCTGACCCTAACCCCTCTCATGTGCTCTCTCTCATTCTCTCTCTCTCAAATAAATAAATAAAATCGTTAAAAAAAAAAAAAAGAATATCACAGCATTTTTTTTTTAAAGATTTATTTATTTGACAGAGGGAGACACAGCGAGAGAGGGAACACAAGCAGGCGGGTTGGGAGAGGGAGAAGCAGGCTTCCTGCTGAGCAGGGAGCCCGATGCGGGGCTCGATCCCAGGACCCTGGGATCATGACCTGAGCTGAAGGCAGACACTTAACGACTGAGCCACCCAGGCTCCCCTGTCACAGCATTTTTAATAGCAAAAAGATAAACAACCTAAAGGTTTATAGAAAAATGGATAAATACATTTTTATACATCTGTTAAAATGAAAAATTTAGAGCTATACTGATCACTGTAGATAAATACTAAAAACAAAGTTAAAAAATAAGTTGTAAAATGATATAGGATGATACTGTTTACATAAAGGTTTTAAGCTTGGAAAGCAATGCTAGATGTTGATTTGGGACATATATATGGATATATATGCATATATATATATAATATTTTAAGAGAATAAGAGTAATATAGTAATATTTTATAAAGATATACACAGAAGTGATACATCAAACAAATTCAGGATAGTGGTAACTTTGGGAAGGGAGAGAGGGATTTTGAAGGCAGTAAAGAAAGGGTTCGACTACCTTATTTTTCCTTTTTAAAAAATCTGAAATGAGTATGGCAAATGTTATCATATGGTAGATGTGGGTGGGTGGTGGAAACTTAGGTTTTTATGTAATTCCTCTATATGTTTGAAGAAAAAAAATTGTGAGTAGCAGGAATTCACCTGGAATACAGGGCATTAGGGGAAATTATTCCAGTCCACAGTATCAACATGCTGGATGTCTTGAAGGGCTGAAATATGATGTGTGGACAATTCAAGGTAGTTTTAATTGCTGAGCCATTCTGTTCCAGGGAAGTTAAGTTGATAGATGCAGTTTATAGGTAGTCAGAGATCCTATTATGAAGGTATTCAGCTGCCATTATCATAAATGTCATATACTGTTACTTTCTATATATGGACACTTGTTTAGAGAAGCTTATTTATTATCAACTAATTAATTCCCCCTTATCCACAGTTTTGCGTTCTGTGGTTTCAGTAACCCATGGGTCAACTGTGGTCCAGAAGCAGATAATCCTCCTCCTGACCTATCGTCAGAAGGTCAATAATAGTCTAACACTATGTCACAATGCCTACGTCATTCACTTCATTTCCTCTTATCATGTAGGCATTTTATTATATCACATTATCACAAGAAGGATAAGTACAGTAAGATATTTTGAGAGAGAGACCACATTCACATAACTTTTATTACAGTATAATGTAATTGTTCTATTTTATAATTATTGTTAATCTCTTACTGTACTTAATTTATAAATTAAACTTCATTATAGGTATATATGTATAGGAAAAAATACAATATATATAGGGTTTGGTACTACCCATGGTTTCGGGCATCCACTGGGAGTCTTGGAAGATACCCTTACAGATAAGGGGGGACTACTTTGTTCAGAATCCTTGTCTTCCTTCACATAGAGGATTTTAAATTCTCCTTTCTCTTATGTGGTATCTAGACTGAGATATTAGAAAAATCCATTGTGTTCTCATTATCTTCTCAACAGAAGCAATTAGTTGCTCAAAAAATTCATATAGAAGAGAATGAGGACAGAGATACAGGACTGGAACAGAGACATAATAAAGAAGATCCAGACTGCATCAAAGCCAAAGTGCCCTTAGGGGACCTGGATCTGTATGATGGCACATACATAACTTTGGAAAGCAAAGACATCAGGTAAAGAAATTCTCTTTCCAGAAATAAAATTAACGTTTTCTTGAATAGACCTTTCTCAAATCAATAAGAAATTATTTATCTAATGAGAATAAGCTCCAATCACAGATGAGTTTATCGAAATTTGAAAGTTCAAAATACACTACACATAGAATTCTTAAATATCAATTAAAAATACTTAATACCACAGAAGATTGAACAATTTATAGTAAAAGAAATACAAATGGCCAATAAACATGTGGAAAACCTCTCTCTCTCAGTAATGATCAAATAAGTACAAAATAAACCATTTAGATAGTTTTCACCTATCAAATGGGGAAAAATATTTAAAAATCAGTAACTGGTAAAAATGTGGAGAGGCTGAAAACAGAAGTGTAAATTGGTTTAACATTTCTGGGAAGAATATTAAAAAAACTTTTAAAAAGCTCATAATCGTAACATTCTTTGGTCTACCTACTATTTTCTGTCTCTTGATTTATCTCCTTTAAGTTAAACTCCTAAAATACTGCCTCCCAACAGTTGCTGCATGAAAAAGGTTGAATGATGACTAATACTGGTTGTAAAGATGAGATGCTATGAGAATATAGTTCAGTTAGGGAAAAATTAGACATTTTTTCACCTTTCATTCATTTATTGCTCCCGGCTTCTTGATTTTAGCCCTGAAGATTATATAGACACAGAATCTCCTGTCCCTCCGGACCCTGAGCAACCTGATTGTACCAAAATTCTAGAACTTCCATATAGTATACATGCTTTTCAACACCTGCGAGTAAGTAGAGAGATTTGGGATTTTTTTTTTTTCCATTTTTTCTGTAATTTAGTCTCTTGCTTATAAATATTTTTTCTTCTCCCTTTCCAAACAGCTTTATAATTTTACAAACATCTCCTATTTCTTAAAACTCCTTTAAAATAAGTGCTATAAGATACTGAGTTACTTGTGAGCTTTTATCTTGTGATCTCTTTTTTCTGTGTATGTGGTTTTGTTTTGTTTTTTCAATTTTTTTCTTCTTCTCTTCAGGGTGTACAAGAGAGAGTTAATCTTTCTGCACCTCTATTACCTAAAGAAGATCCAGTCTTCACATATTTATCTAAACGACTAGGAAGAAATATAGATGATATAGGTCACCTCATTCATGAAGGCCTGCAGAAGGTAAGTCATCAGTGATTGAAAGAGCTGGAGACTCGGTGCACAAAAGATCTTTTTTTCTCAGAAAATAACCTGTCTAGATTGTTTTTGTCTAGAGAATGATTTTTATGATTACATTAATGTAAACTATGTAGTTCAAAGCTAGGGAGAAACATTGGTAGTCTAGTCCTCTCTACCAGGAAGGGATGCCAAAGGTTTATTTAAACTAATTCATGAAGGGCACCGGGGTGGCTCAGTCGTTAAGTGTCTGCCTTCGGCTCAGGTCATGATCCCAGGGTCCTGGGATCGAGCCCTGCATCAGGCTCCCTGCTTGGTGGGAAGCCTGCTTCTCCCACTCCCCCTGCTTATGTTCCCTCTCTTGCTGTGTCTCTCTCTGTCAAATAAATAAATAAAAATGGGTACTCAAGGGGCGCCTGGGTGGCTCAGTCGTTAAGCGTCTGCCTTTGGCTC